AATATTTTTGACATAAACAAACTTCATCTGATGCTATTTACGTTTAAATTCCTTACTTGTTCTCTTCCAGACACATTTAATGGTCTTCTAAATCTTAATTCCCATTTTCATACTTACCAAACTCGACAAAGTGCCCATTTACATATCCCCCTAGTTAGAACGTCCGTAGCCCAAATGAGTGTAAAATATAAATGTATAACTACTTGGAATAATCTCCCGCTCCACCTAAAATTTTTAACATCAATAATTAGCTTTAAACGAAATCTTAAAAATCACCTACTTTTCTTTTCCACCGACATTTGATTTCTTATTACTTTGATTTCATCTGTATAAGTTTGAATCTCCGTTTCTCTTTAAAATTCATTTATTTTCTTGAGTTATTGCTTCAATTCCGCCAATGTCTGTATTGCAGTTCTGTTAACGTTAAAGTTATAGTTTTTAACATATCATTTCTAATTAGCGTTATTTATCAATCACTTTTGTTATTCATGTTACTATTTGTTCTGTTACTATTATCATTTTGATCATATTGATCAAATTTATTAATTACCTATTGTTATTTATTATTATCATTTGATTTGTTAGCATTATTTCAGTTGTTAATTAATTTTGTCGGGGAAGATCCCAGACAAGCCACTATGGCTTCATATCTTTCCCCAGCATTTTATTTTATTGTCAATAACATTTTCATTTTATTGTTATCAAATATATGCGAACCAATAAACAAACAAACAAACAAACAAACAAGACAAATGTGCAAGACTTTCTGACCCTAGTAATATACGTATAAGTAAGAATCCCTAGATGTTATACTTCAACAGTGTTAGAATAAGCCGGTACTTGTCGGCCTCAGTACAAAGCTACGCAGGTGAAAAGCAATGCAGCATTTAGCGTAACTCTAGCTAATCTCAAATCCTACGTTTTACCTTGCATGGATATAGTGTTGCCGGACTATTTTTTCTGGACAGCATCTAAAGGAGTAGATGTGGGTAAACCGTCATATACCTTACAGATCTTTGTCTTCATGTCGCAGTCCGCGGCGTGGTTGTTGCACATGGCGGCACAGGCGCTATTTTTACAGTCAGTAGGGGTTCCTTTGGTCGCGTCTCCGGTATATCCAGACTTGCACTTCTCACACTTGTCACCTTCCGTGTTGTGATCGCAGTTCTGGTGGAATAGTGACCAAATAGCCAAAATATAGGTTACGACGCGGTCACATTCGTCGAACGATTCTTGTTGTTGCTGTTGTGGTGTTAAGAGTGGCTATAATAGATTTAACGGCTTTAGCGGCTATATTTTATTGGTATCGAAAAGTATCTGGATAGACTGCTCCTAAACTTCAGCCAACCTTGGTTGGTTGGTTGGTGAATGTACAGGGGCTTTACTTACCTTACATTTCCCATTGGCGTCGCATTCTGTAGAGTGGCCGTTGCAATCACAAGTTTTGGTGGGGTTCCCGCCGGGCTTGGGGGTGGGCTGGGGGGTGGGGTTGGGGTTGGGGTTTGGCTGGGCTGTTGGCTTGGGTGTGGGTTTGGGTGTCGGGTCTGGGTTGTTAGGATCAGGAGTGTCGTTGGGTGTACAGTCAGCAGCCGTCCCTTTGGTGGCGTCACCGCGGAACCCAGGCCGACAGTTCTCACACTTCTCTCCCTCTGTGTTGTGGCCGCAGTTCTAGAAGTTCGTATAAACGTTAAAGGCATCCTATTAATAATGCAATGTCAGGACGGCAAAACAAACTGTCTGATATTGACATTTACCGTCAATTTATATCGCATTTTTACCTTCGCCCAGACGGTTATGTTTTCAGAGGCGTTCGTGTGTGTCTGTGTGTCCGGAAACACGATAAGGCCACACCGATTTAATTTTATGGATGACATCCTCTGAAGACCCCCAAACTAGTGCGCGCGGGCGAAAAAAATAAAAATCCGGCCAAAAATAAAAATGCAACAAAACCACAGGAATACAAACCTGGTATTGTGAATTTGGCGCATTACATAGCGACGTATACGACAGGCCGACACATGCTGGATTTTTGCGGATTATATGAATCGACACTGCTGTACGTATGTACTGAGTTCTTGAGTCTTGGAGCTTCGGTAGCCTGGCTGCCGTCAACCAGAGTTATCACCACCATGCACTACCCGGGCCTAAAGCCAGGCCAGAGCCTCGGAATATACGTGATCTTTTTTTTTTTTTTTTTTTT